AAAAACATACAAAACGGTGTTTTATGAAATTCAAAAATTGCCAGTAGTTTTCTGTAAGGGGTAGGTTTAGGTGTAGGGTTGGTGTAGGACGATAGAAAATACAGTTTTTTTTACAGAATAAAAACCATTACGCCTATGGAGAGTACCCGTAAACCACAAATGCAAGTGTGTGTGTGTGTGTGAGAGAGTGTGTGTCTCTATGTGTGTGACAGACAGATTTCCACAGTGATAAAGCAGCTTTTCATTACACTCGTCCGTAGGTCACACCACTTCTGATGCTTTTATCAATGGCAGCGATTAACCGTCTGAAAGGAAGGAGAAACAGTCTTTCCTGATGTTGATGCTGATCCTGCATGTAAATGCGACTGTGTTTAGAATTATAATTAGACAGTGTTGGCTCTGGTTCCAGCTTCTGCATGTGTGGTGGTTTGTGTGTGTGTACCTGTACTGCAGGGCCAGTCTGAGCGCGGTGGCGTTGGACTCGTATTTCCCCACCAGCATACTCATCCGCTCGGCGTTACTCTTACACTCCTCCAGCGTGATGGTCAGCAGATCGTTCTGAGACTTCAGGTGCTCGATACGACTGAAACACACACAATAAAACATGACATGAACAAACAATGCCAAACACGATCAGACGTGCAATTCACAGGGTCCCTACATAGTGTTCACTGCTCCCTACACACTCAGTATAGAGACTCCTGAAGAATCTGCAACAGCATCAGACAACAGTTAAGTTGCACAAATTCAGGATTTCCTGTGTAATGCAGTGTTTTCTTTAGTATTATTTATATACTATTACAGTATTTATTAATATTTTGAATTAGCTTTTCTTTTTTTCAATTTTCACTTTAATTTTAGTAATTTTGTTATGTGCTTGTCATTTTTATTTTTTTACTTCTATTTAACTTATTATTATTTCAGTTTGAATTTGTCATTTTAGTACTTCAACTTAAACATTAAAAGCTTAGCTAAACTTATTTTATTTCATTTTATTGAATTTCGTTTAAGTTTTAATATTTGTATGTGTTGTCATTTATATATATATATATATATATAT